GAGGCTTTGGGCAACCTGGTGTAGTGGAGGGTGTCCCTGCCCATGGCAGGGGGGTTGGAACTGGATGATCTTTGAGGTCCCTTCCACCCAAACCATTCTGGGATTCTATGATTCTATGTCATACAGCTCAGGGTAAAAAAAGGCAATCACTTCCTTCATGAATATTCTGTAGGACTAAAATAAGGGAGAGGTCTTTGTAATTGTAAACTCCTCTGCCAGTGGTCAGTATCTATAGCGATACACTGAATAAGTGGAAATTTTTTTCACGGAACCAGTTATATTTTAATTAACCATTTCCCACCACTTCCAAATTACAGATCCAGCCCATTTTCCTTAGTCTTAGGTCCTTAACTTGTACGAAATCTACTGCTCAGTGAGAACACACTTTGAGATGTCCGAGGGAGGAAAAAAAAAAAAAAAGGAAAACCAAGTTTTTACACAATCTATACATTCTGCCACATAAAACAAGAGCTCTGTGTTTGACAGGAATTAGCATTTCGATCTCCTGAGTAATCTCTTTATTTTTTAAATCATTTTTACTGAGATCACCTCCTAGCCTTACACACATCCCCACATTCCTCACGGCAGCTCAGCTCGGGCTCACAGTGCAACCCCTTTGGAGGCAGCCTCCGCATTTCCAACCTTTTCTGCAGCACCCAGTCCAACGGGGCCGGATGTCTCAGCCCGTGAGATGCTTCACGTTAACGAAGAAAATGCCTCTGGCTGCCCCGTGCTGCTGTTATTTCACATGATGAACTTCAAAAGCGTTTTCCTTTTGACATACACACGCCAAACACCTCTCTGTACACTGTCACGTCCCTGTTTTGCTCCGTGTTCACTCACCCTCCCAGCTCACTGGAGCAAGGACGCTCTCTGGGATGTTTTTTCAGCTACAGGGAGCGCATCCAGCTCCCAAGTTCATGACCACAGCTCCGAAGGGCTATCAGAGCAGGTAACCCTCTCTGCTTCTTTACAAAGAGCTGGCAAAGCTGGGAATTTATTCTGCTAGAAAAGGCACCCTGGGACAGGCAAGCAGAGCAGCCTGATCTCTGCGCCACTCTCCGTCTGTCTGTGGTCAGGGGAAGGAATTCTCTGGAGAACTGCATGGAAAACCAAGGAGCTGGTACTGACGCATGAGTAATATTGGTTTGAAACCCTAGTTTTCTGGCTAAACAGAAAACAAAAATGATGATTAAGAGGTGACATCCTCCTCCCAGCTCCTCAGACAAGTCTTCCAACCAAGGTGACAAGCACTTACACATTAAATGCTCCAGAGAAACATGGCACCAACCGCTGGGCAGAACAGACACCGAGCTGCCAGACGGCATTATTTTATGGGATTTTATTTAGAAAACTTCTCTTCATCTCAGGCACTGGAATACCACAGGAAGTGCCTAAAATAGAGCAAGAGACGCCTGCTGCTGCTTCAGGGTGTTTTGTCTTACTGGAAAGGGCACACGCTGTCCTCAGGACAAGAGCCTGGAAGATGGTTCCTGCTGCCCATGTTTGGGAAGGAGCGAGGAGCCTTCCTTCAGGATGTGCCTGTCAACACGCAGCACTTGCTTCCCAAGAAAACCTCTCCCAGACGCCCAAACCGGGCATGGCCACTGGCCAGCATCTTTCCAGACACCGCACCTCGCCGTACGCAAACTGATGTCATGTCTAAAGCTGTTTGGCCTGTTCGCTGCCACTAACTGCAGTGTGCCAACCCCCAAATCCTTGGTTATACGGAGTGCTCCTGACACGTTTCCAGGGCAGGGAGCACCAGCAGAGAGCTGGGAATGTGGACACAGTCAGCGCAGGAGCCGCGGAGCTGAGGGCAACGCTGCTGCGGCAGGGTGCCAAGGCTGGGCGACTGGCGTTGGTGAGGCAGGACTCATGGATAGACACAAAAACACAGGAATGACAGAGAAATCACGGACAGGGATGGGTAGACAACTGCAAGGAAGGAAAGAGGCTGCAGGCAGGAGTAGGTTGGACAGAGCAAAATGGATGGATGGAGATGGGGCAGAATCCCATGGAGGTGGGATGGAGACAGAGGGACAGAAGGAGGTCGGCGTGGGGAGCAGCAGAAGTCAGTATTGCCGAGAGGAAGGGCCGTATCCTGCCGGAGCTCACTGCTGCCCTGCGTGGGGAAACAAGAATCATCGAACCATTTGGTTGGAAGAGACCCTCAAGGTCATCGAGTCCAACCGTTCACCCTGCACTGTCAGGGTCCCTAAACCACGTTCCTCAATGCCCTGGTGACAGCCAGTTTTGCCCACAGATGGCTTCACCCCCCACCCCCAGAAACACACGCCTGGTTTCTTAGCCTGAACACACTGAACTCCCGCTTCTCGGGGCGTTCTGGTGGGAAAACAGCTAAAATTACTCAGGTTGAGTGGAAACGGTACGCTTTTCGCTCACATTCCTAAGATAATGTTGAAAGGAAACATTTAACCAAATGAATCTATTTTCACTTGGTTTTGGCTTTCAGTGTCTGTTCCAGAGACAGAAATAGTTTTATGGCAAGTTAGTGGCAGTTAAGCGAAGTCTCACCACTGAGCTGTAATCTTCTGCATACAAAATCCACACTGGCTAAAGCTGATGCTTCCAGCAGACTTTTTTTTTTTAAAAAAAAGATTATCAAGATTCTCTTCCCTCCCAGTTACAAGCCAATCACGAAACATTAAGCTTTCAACAGAGCATGTGCACAGAATAACATTATGAAAATGAGCAGTTTAGAACTACGAATTTATTGTCCCTCACTTGAATACCCACCAGAAGTGAAATTTACTGTTCTAACATCTAACTTGCACCAGTGGATGACATCAGGAATGGAAGAGAAACCACATCAAACATGTCAAGAGTCGAGGTGGGTAACATTTTCCAGCAAACCGCAGTGCCCGAAGTGGGAAGAAAACTTTCCAGAAAATGCTGCAGCATTTCGGGCTCAGTAGTTGTTTTATCCTCCAAATCTTTAGTCATTGAAAAAACAAAACTAAACAAAACACACACACACAAAAAAAGGAATCAATGAAAAGATAACAAACAGAAAGGAGGTGGGGGGATGCTGCAGGACTTCGGTCCAGAGAGCAGGCGATGCTCCATGCCCAGCTCCAGCCAGGACTGTAAACTGGCTGTCCAACAGCCAGCCTCTCTTAGCACTACCCCGCTGCAAGGAAACAGTTGTTTTAAATATTTTATTGAAATTAACTTCAAAGAAGTTTCTGTCTTATTTGGTATACACAGGCATACACACACAAAAGAACAGTCCAGTTTGCACAGCTGGCCAAGAGGGGGTTCTGGGTTTAAGTCTTGTTATTTTTTCAGTTTATAAATAAATTCCTTGTTGGACAATAGACATGTTTTAGAGATCTATTTACAGACCATTGGAACCTGAAGTGAGTTTACAGTTTGAGAGCTCCTGTTTTGATCACACAACAAAATTCCCGGTGCCGTTCTGGCACTTGGCACCGGGCGTTCTCTGGGTTGGGTTTTACCCTCTCAAAGAGGCAATGAAATGGCTCACACATTGTTGGGAGGATTTAAAAGAACTTCCAAGAGATTTCCTATAAAGCTCCCAGCCATGCTTGTATCATTGCTTATAGCAACCAGCTCCTGCTGGACTCGTGGCCTGAGCTGCCTCTCCCGACCTCGCAGCCACGAGCCAGCACCAGGAGAACACAGAATCGACACCTTCCGGCAGATCCAGATCTTGCACACTTCTCAATTTAAAGACAAAATCAGCTTTAAAAGGTTTTTCACCGTTTCCAGTTTCAGCCTTCAGGGTTCTAGGTAAGGAAAAGCAACTACAGCTTTAAAGTGGCTGCATTTTAAGCCAGCGATGATTCCAAACACGCAGTTTCACTGGGAGGAGGGCAATTCTGTAAATCACAGGGTACATCTGCTTTGTGCAGAACAGCGAAAAACTTCGAATCCCCAGATGATGCTGCTGTTTGTAGCCAGACTTAAAACCACCAGTTCTTCAAAAGGTTCGGCACCTTTTGAAGACTGGTTAGCTCGAATTTAAACAGCAAACGGGAAAAGCACAGCATCAGGAATCTTCAGCAAGCTCCGGTGGCAGCCAGCAGCGCCATCCTTTTGCTCCCTGCAGCCAAGGTGAAAACACCCAGAAAGTGGTTTTCCTTGGCGGGAGCGGGGCAGGAGGAGGAATGCTGTCCTGCTGCCAAGACAAATTAACTGGTGCAGAGCATCCCGCAGGCTGAGCGGCGCTCCGCGCCCCAGCCCGCTCCCAGTGCACCCCCCGAGCCCGTGCAAAGCAAACCAGCCGGGTAAAACACCAGCTGGGCATCGCTCCTGCCCCTGGGGGTAGTGCAGGGGCTGTGCCACGCAGCCCAAGAAGTCAACTGGTGAGGCAAAGAGAAATAAAGCCAAACGTGTCCATTGGCAGCAGTGTTTCTTTTCAGTGGCAGTGACTTTAGGACCGGACCACTCCTGCTGCTGTGGCTGGCTAACACTATAGCTATTCACAGCCACTTTTTGGAAGTGAAAAAAAAGTTGGGCGCTTTGGTTTTTTTTGCCTTTCTCATCTAATTTCTAAAATAATAATGCCTTCTTCATGCAAGTTGCTAATGCAGCAGCTAATAGTTGCAAATTAGCTGCAAAAGATTTGTAATTTCGCCTTCCAGTACAACACAATCTGTAGGAGTTGAGCAGCGTGGCAGCTCAGCTATGCATTTAAATGTCGTGGATTCCTGGTGGCCCCCCCAAGCTTGTTCTCCACCCCCAAGACACTACAGCAGGACTCCCTTCGGAGACAGGCTTGGTCCTGGCCTCCATCAGTTTTCTCTGTTTTCACTGGAGCTAGTTTTTTCTGTAAAGTGTTTTTGTTGTATTTATTCATACGAACAAGCCAGATGTATCACCCTCACCCCCTATATTAGCTTCAAACTCAGAGGTGCCAGTTCTGGTGGTGCTGGTGGCCACCATCCACTGTAAATGGCAGGCAAAGGGGGGGAAACTAAGGGTGGGAAACTCCTCGGCACCTACAGCAATGACCAGCTTGATCCGAGCTTTGCAGGCTGTCTCTCAGGTGTCTCCCAGCAATCCGCGTCCCACTCTTACTTCTCTTTGCCTGCTGGAACATCTACCTATTTTTAGGTCTGGGCAATTATCATTACAGAACTCAAACCACTTCTTTGTTCTGGCTATTTTAAGCTGAGCATTACACGTAGTAATGTCATCATTCTCTCTCCCAGTGCTTGGTTTCTGGTCTGTAAGGAATGAGATTGAGCACAAATACAGCAAAACCTCCATGAACTTATGTGACCTAAATCAACCACAGGAGGCAGGAGAAGCTCACGCTGTACTTATGCTGCTTTTCCCCCCGCTTCCCCCCTCCAGAAATTAGGCAGTGTCCAGATGGGCTCCATATGTACTTACTCTCTCCCTCCAGAGCCCTTTGGGAAAGCCCATGGCATATCAATACGTATCCTGCATAGCTACTACAGCAGCCCTCTCTTGATGTGGTTTGCCCCCAACAGCTTAAAAGTTGTTTATCTGGACGTGGTTCTCGCCACTGGGCACCCACCGACCCTGGGCTGCATTAGCACCACGTGCCAGCCCGAGATGCAGGGCAGGAGGGAATGGGCTCCAGCAGCAGCCAGTTCCCCTTTCTCATGTGCTGTTCTGGAAGACAATTTTTAAAAGCAGGAAAAAGTCCTGAGGTGAAAGGATGCAAAAGGACCACCACTCAACAGCAAGGCTGGGGGAAAAATCCAGGCAACTGAGAGGTTTTTGCAACCTAACCTGGAGGTTGCATCACATCTGGAAGCACGTGGTCTGTCTGCAACGGGGCATTATCCAGGCATAAGGTACCATACCACACATCAGATTTTGCAGCACAAGCCAAGAGTATAGCTAGAACAAAGGACAAAGTCTGTACTTCCCAAAACAAGACCAAAACTTGCTCCAGAAACTGTAGAAAGTTACATAAATGGAAAAGCTGATTCATGAGAACAGAAATAAAAGCTTCTCTTATGGATTATAATGCCATTGTAAGTGCACTCATTCAATAACCCAAGGCCTAAACATTTGTTAAATCCCACATCAGCAAAACCCAAGTCAAAAGATCCCAGTGCATTCAACACGTTTTCTCCTACCAGAAGAACTAGAGATGAAAGTTAAAGCCACCTCCACATGCTAAAGTCCTGGGGATCAGGATTCTCAGCAGAGACCAAGGCCCTTATGGACCCAACTCCCACTCACTTTTATTTACTCTTTGCCACAGACTGCAAAGCGAATAAACCCCCCAGTGGGAGTTTGGCTTTTAGTCCCCTCAGCCTGCTTTGGGAAGTTCAGCCAGTAACAGAGGCTGGCTCCCCAGTTTGGCACAGCCCAGGAAAGCCGCCCGTGAGCAGGTACCTGATTGCTACGTCGCTGACTTGCTGTAGAAGTTCAAGGAATTAGTTCAGAAAAAACAAGAAACCTTCTCCCTGTTGCTCCCAAGTAAAGAACAAAGGAACGTAATCATCACTTGGAGGATACTAATTAGAGAACTAACCTCAGCCTAATTCTGTTCAGAAGCTCAGAAGAACACCAGACACAGCAGCTCACATTGTGAAACAGTGCCGAATGCTCAGCACCCGGCTGGATGGGGCCTTGGCACCACGTACGTGCAGGACAGCACACGCTGTGTATGCTCAAGGCAAGGACTCCTGTGCCACGTAAGTACGATACACATTTAGGAAAGGTAACGCTGTAAATACCACTAATGCCTGGTTTCCAGCACCCTTGGATGCACACAGGACCATTTCTCAAGAGGGCTTTCTTATCCAGGGGAGATCCAGGTGCGTGCTCAGTGTCACACCACTTCGACGGAGGTGTAAACACAGTGCTGTGAGCAGTGTGCAACACGAGCTGAATAGTCAGGG